TCATCTGTTAGAAAATTCTAAATATCTAAACTAAAATCATGTTCCATTACATCTGTGGACTAGAACTGCATATAGGACACATTGTCAGCTGTCTTATAAGCCAACTTCAAGCATCCCTTGTGAGAGGTGGAGATTCTAGGGGTCATTATAACTCTTGTTTCTTTCATGAGTGGCCATTTGAAATAATATTTAATGTAAAAATATTCTTGGATACTAAACTAGGCCTTTGACATGGATAGACTATTTGAGTGATATATTGCATGGAGCAGTTCACATGTGCTGTCTAAGTCATCAGCTTGCTGCACCTGTACAGCCCTGGACCTGGGATCGGGGCCCCTGAATGTCTGCATAGTTGAGTTGTGTGTTTCTGGGCTGTGTGATAGAGATGCTTTGTTCCTGCAGCTGGAAACAGAAGCAGCCATTCATTGAAAAGTTTAAGGGAGGAAGTCTCAGCCTCATTTTCCACACCAGCATTACTTTCACGGCTCATGGATCTGAAGGATTGCATTTAGAACATGTAGTACTGTTGCCCTCGGAAACTGTGGCAAAAAGTCACATTCTCAAAACTTCATGCAAGTTGTATTCTTATCGGAAATCAGTCCTGCAAATTTCTTAATCGCCTTCACGCTGTCCGTATTTAAAGCTACAGTTCTTTCTGTAAGTGAATAATTAAGTGGAATTTAGCGAAGGAAACTAGAGACTTGTTTTCTTCCAAAGAGAATTGGGAATCAGTTTTATGGGTATTTTGAAATTAAAGTACCCTTTAACTTGTCATTATTCAAAAAGTGTTATCTCAAAAGTTTTCTACTGCTCAGGCACATATTCTGATAAAACCTTTTTGTTTGTTTACACTAAGATAATTTTTGCTGTTTTCCTGTTTTGGACTCTGTTAAAATTTGTATGCTTTTTATAACATACCTTTTTAATCTCAGTTTTTAAAATTGGGCCTCTCAGGTGTAAAACATGGGAAGAATCATTAGCCACCAAGAATAGGCACACAGCAAAAATTCAGTGACTCACTTTTTGTTGACTGAGCCCCATCCCTGAGTGTTGCAAATTCAACAGACTTCTGCTGTAGTGGTGTATATCAGAATCTAGCTGTGTGAATCTTAAACTGTTGGCTCAAAGATTTAATCTACTGTAAAAGCATGAGCATACTTTGAAAACTTTAAAAGACTCATGCATACATGTCACTAGATAGCTTATTAATAATTTTAGCTCTTCAAGGTTTGCTTTTATTTAAAGGGTACAGAGTTTGGGACATGTTTGTACCAACTCAGCACGTGTCCTGGCCAGACAACACTGTACATGAGAGCTTAGATGATTAATATAAAAACTCATTTTCTTGATAAAAATTTCTTCAAAACATTTCTTTTAAACTAAGATTTTCTGCAAAAATAAAGTTTTATAGTATCACACATATCTGATCTTTTGTATCTTGCAGAAAATTTTTTTATGGTGGAAAATGACTTGTGGCCAAACTTTCAGGATACTTGTCTTCTAGGCATCGCTTAAATTCATTGGCAATCTCTTGGTGGTTTGAATTTGGTTTATTTATATCTTCATGGATTATATGTCAGCCCTGTTAATAATATTCAAGCCTCCTGTTTTGCCAGGGTGGTTAGATTTTTATTTCTTTCCAGTAAGTTCTTTTGTCTTAACCATTACATGATTGTGTTCATGCTAATTATTTTTAATGCCAGTATAGGTGATAAAGAACATTATTCAATTAATTGGCTTACATTTTCAGGGGGTATTGTATATGGTAGTTTCAAGGTATGTGATTTGGTCTAGAATATATCCACATGCTTATAATTATGGTATCAGTTCATGACAGGATTCTCTTACGTATGAGTAGTATTTGTTTCTCCCTGAATTGGGAATGTTAATATTTTGAATTATAAGTGTCCAAATTATGAACAGAATTTACCTAAGCGAGACAAATTCTCTGCTACATTTGTATAATTTAAAAAAATGTTTTATGAGGAAACCCTATGAATGTTTTTATGCGTAAGTATCTAGCTGAAAACCATGGAAACAGTAAATCGAAAAGCCCTTTTTTGTAAGTAGACTGGCAACTGCTGGAACATTAATCTGATACAAAGCAGTAATAACCTATATTACTTGTGACTTTCTGGACTTGAATACCTTAAAAACCAAAAGATGTTAATGAGAAAACAAATGTCTAATTGATAAGGAAATTATTTTTATTCCATTTACATGTGTCTCCTAAGATGGTTTTCACAATAGCGAGTCAAACTTAAAAATAAACAAAAACTAAAAACAGATTTTTTTTTTAATGCTACACTTAAGTCTAAAGTACTTTGTATATCTTATGGAATGGCTTACTTAAGTTTGCTGTGTTTCTTTATACATTTAAAATGTCCTTTTATTTAGAGTTCTTCCCGTTTAAATAGATATCTTTCAACTTCTGAACTTTTTTTTCCAGAGCATTCCAGTGGTGCATTTTAGAAGAACGCAACTTTCTAGGTGGAAATACAGTTTTCCTTAAATCACAAACAAGTTAGCTGTTAGGTTTAACATTATTTGTATTAGTATTTTTGCAGTTGATCATAGAAAAGAGTACTGAATAATGGTTTTCTTAAGATTTTTTTCAAATGTCTTCCTCAAGTTTGATCCAGTTACTTTCTCACATATTTTTAAACATATCATAAGCAATGGTTCCTTCAACTTATTTTTTTCTTCCAACATAATACTTAGGAAAAATATTAATTACATTTTAAATAGTTGAAGACACACAAAAAGAAATCCTTTTAAGTTCATTGTTGCCGAGGGTAGGTATTTTGTGGTTTCCTGGAATTTGTTATATCCTGTTGTTTTCTTCAAAAGGAGCATAACTTTTTCTTAAATACATTTCAATTCATAATTGCTTGGAAAAGATTGTCCTGTATAGAAAGATAGACATCCTAATTTGGAGACAGTACTACCTTAAATGCTTGCTCAAAGGTAAAAATAAGTCATTTAAAAATACTCCATGTACCTTGTAAGAATGTTTGTTTTACCATTTCTTCTTCCATCAACTGGCCATAAGTCAACATCCTTATTTCACTAGGAAGTTACTTTACAACACTAGGAAATTTTTTTACTTTCAAAACTGCATTATAGTGAATTACTGTTTACAAAATACACATACTGTGAACAGATACAAGTTATCTTTTATAAGGTTTGTAGACTGAGTGTTTTTTTTTAAAGGTGGTGTTATGTTACATATTTTTAGTTTTTTATAAATACTAGTAACTGTTTACTAACTTCTGTTTGGTCAGGTGTGTGTAAATGTAGCTGAAGGAAGATAGAGACTGCATCTCCAAAACTGTTCCCTTTTTAATTTCTTAAATGTTACCATTAGGACATTTTTTAAAAAAACACAAATGATTAATTGTGATGTGCTGTACCTAAAATCATGTGTAATCATATAAGGAAACATTTAAATGTACGTATACAGGAAGTAAACTATAGATCAGAGTATATCTGAATGATTCACTCGGAATGGGAATTCTTTAGTATGAAATAAAACAATTCCACTTAACAGAGATGACAGCTGAAGTATTCCTTGCCTTGTGGAAATGTGGATATTATGTTCTGATAGAATGGGAAATTTGGACATTTTGTATCATCATATAATTTCAGAATTTAGTTTCCATATCTTTTGGAAAACATGATTATAGTAAGAACTTAGAATATAAATGAACTATTACTAAGACACCATAAATACAAAACTAGTACGCTTGGCTGATGTTACTTATGTCTGTTTTTAAAACATGCATGTATTTAACAATTTTATCATAGTATTGTCATGGAAAAAAATAAATATATTTTCTTACATCTTACCCTGACAGATTTGGGTATTATTGGTTTGGGTTTTTTGTTTGTTTCCTCATGTTTTAAGTACTTAGGAAAAGTGATGTTTGCTTTGTTATATTTTTTGTGTTATGTCCCATAAGAATTAACAGTGGTTTTGAAGTAATTATGTAGGGTTACAGCTGTATTTTTTAATATTGAAAGCCACTGCTTTGGTATTGGTATGAGCTTCCATCTGTTACCATTTAGTCAGTATTCTATTTACCAGAGAAGTGAGCATAACAATAACCAAATACTGGTAACTCAGCATTAGCCAATATATCATACATACAGGCCCTTAAAAGTATGATTTTTAACTTTTTTCTCCAAAGATAGCCTAAACAATTGTGGAGATTCTGG